AAAAAAAAAAAAAAAAAAAAAGAAAAAAGAGAAGAAAAATTTTCCTATGTATTTACCCGCTTCTTACCCAAAACCATCCCATAGACTATTTACCTCCAAAGAGGTCCTGACAGAAAAAAACTGTGCTAGCGGGTCTTGAATATGAGAGCACAGTTTTTCCCCTCATCCTGACCGACGGTAAGTAACGTATTTATTATTTCCTATTTACTGTTTAACTAGTTTAAATGACCAGCATACTACACCTGTTGATAARTGTTGTATCTCTGATCATGGTACAGTTAGCCTGCAGTTAGCAGGTATAATTTCTCTCGAAATATTGTTTCGCTAACTGCACCATAATTAGAGACACCACACTTGTCAATACCAATGCAACAGTAAGTAAAATAAACAACTGTTTCTTACCTTATTTAATTCTTGTAAATCAGAAGTTAATCGCCTATGTAGCTCTGTTAATTGTGAAATAGACATATCACCTAAATCGGACATTGTACTAAGAACATGGATGTCTGGATTATTTCGTATACATTCTATCTCTTTCTCCATGGCCAAGGCCTTACTTTCTGCCTAAGGGGAAAAAAAAAAGTTTGAAACCATCAGAGTGTTTCCCCCTAATACACCTATTTCAAAAATCGTTGTCTGGCGGAGATCTGGAATTTGAGGCGGAAATGACTTGTGGGCTGTAAGCTGCGAAGTTTTTTTGCCTATAAATAGTACGTTAAAGTTTATGCGATGACCTGCTTTGGCGAATAGTCTGGCTAAGTGTAATTTTAATTTTTTAACGAGAAAACATTCGGTCCCCCGCTATTCCACGCGGTCACAGATTTCAGATCTCCAAACGGCAACGTTTCTTGAAATAGGTGACTGTATACTCAATAATTGCAAAATCAATGGATTCAAAAACATACTGTAAAACTGTTATTCTCATGTTATGACACGCATAAATGATTGTCACAATGTTATTTTCGCGCAAAGACAATCATTCAGGATTTGGGAGACACATTTGAGTAATCGCGAGGATTTAACTGCAGCGTTCTTTACCACTTCGGCTGCRTGGGGGTTGGAATCCTCCCTGAAGCATGACAAAGTCACGGTACAGATTTAGCATCCAATAAACCAATTTCAGCAAGMAAGATTACTGCATAAATGGTCATATATCGTAAATGATAAATAACGCTAAATAATGAATGCTCATAAAACCGTTCAGGATTTGCATTAAGACTGGTTGACCAGAACATAGTTCTCTACTTTAACATCCCCATAATACTTTGCGTCTTTAGGGGGTAACCAGAAGGTAAAAATCCACTTATTTTGCTGAAGGCTCATCAGACAATGTTGAAAATACCTTGTTTGGCATCCAAAAATAAAATTAAGAAGTAAAAAACAGAAAAAGATAGAAGCTTGAAGAC